GTTTGTAAAATTCGGATTTGTGGAAGTTAGATAACTGCGAAATACAATCATCATAAAAGGAATCTCGGCAGTGACGGAGGTGGAGGCCGATCAGAGGATCTTGAATTCCTCGTCCTGCTTTCTGCGTCCTTCGTGCTGAAACTCCCGAGGCAGAAAAGCAAGAAGCGCTCCAGCTCGAGACGTCGTTCGCGATCCCGCCGGCTCCTTAGAGCCCGTTGTCTCAAGCAAGTGGGCCAAACACCAACGTGGTATGAACGACACGCGAAACACATGGCATGTTCGTTTCTACAAGGAATGAAAAAACTGACCAAAACACACTCCCTGACCTTTTTCATGGCAAAACTGGAGTGAATTCACCACCTCTTTGGTCCTCCGAGTCTTCGGGGGCCGCGCGTTCTGCGTCCGCCTCGACCCAGGCCGACGGCGCTCGTCCAGGTCATCACGATCACGGCCACGGCCGCGGCCCGAAAGCTGGATCAACGCATGGTATTCTTCGCAAAACATAGAGAAAGACAGATAAAAACGGTATATATTGTAATATATATATATATATTTGTATATACCAGCTGCTTCCGTTCGGGGTCACCTGGCTGGATATCTCCACACTAGTTACAGGTCTCCAGACAGGGCACCCCGACAGGAAGCGCTAGGTATATATATATATATGGGTGTAATTTGATGATACTTCTGTGGAGTGTTGGTTGGCGCCACCAAAAAGAGCTAATTGCTGACTTACATCCCAAGTTGGGTTTCCATCGGCTTGTTCGCATGAGGCAAAGATGTGTCTCCAGTGACAGTGGAAGGAAGAGGAGAAGGTTCATGGGCGAGTTGGCTCCAGTTTTCTTTCTTTTGGATGATTTCGGAATCTTCAGCTTCAGATTTTACGTTCTGCAACATCGCCCAACCCTTTCATGTCAGGAGGCGGCGGAGTAGCAGTTTCCTGGCCCATTTTGGTCGCGTTCGAGTTCTGGTTCGGAACGTGTTGCGAAAGTTGACGTTGCAGCAATGGCAATGATTGCGTGATTTCAGATTTCAGATTCGATTTCAGATGGACAATTTCTCTCCCATGCTTGGCCCAACAGCTTTCTTCCAAGTTCCGGCCTGGTGGCCGGACCGTGCCTTCCAGCATCCCGAGGCAGCCGGAGCAGTTGACACTCAAAGGGGGGCCGCATCCGATGCAGTGGGAGGAAAAGCAGCGCGGCGCCGCTGGTTCGATGAGTTCGTGTTCCTTGGAGTGACCAAACAGGCCATCGCAAGCAGAGCTTCGACCCTCCAGGCCATCGCTACGAACGGAGCGATCGGACGCCCTTAGGTTGGAAGAACGACCGCGACGGGGTCCACCTCGAACCGCTCGGTTTGACGGAGGAACACATTCAGAAGGGGTTCATACATTTCATTCAGGCTTCTGGACGAATCCGATAGATTCGATTTTGTCTATTACGTCTACAAGTTTCGGAGAGGTTTGACAGAGATTTCTTCACCTTCCAAAAGGGGATCGTTCCACACTATGGATTCCCTTCACAGTTTTTTTTTCACAGGTTTTTTTTTCAAATTTCCAACAGCCATTTTTCCTGCTTGTTGGAATGTTTTCTAGAAGATGCTTGTGTCCATGCAATTTCTCCTTTCTGCCAAGCTTGGGGATGCCGACTGGCATCCTCGTCCTCGGTGTGGATGAATCCATCGATTCCACCGTCCATCAGACCAGTGCAGTTCTCTCCGCTGCTCCCTTTGGGCTCGGTGCAGTTCTCTCCGCGGGAGACCAGGTGCCTCGCTCCCGGACCGGTCCGACCGGTACCGGACCGGTACCGGACCGGGTGCGGCGGGTGCGGCTGTGCAGGTGGAGTTTGTTCAGTTCGCTGAAGTAAGTGGATCGCTGAGAACGTCTTGAGAATGTGTTCGGGGTGAGAAGGTTTAGATGTTATGGGACTTGGGTTGAAAGGGTGAGTTGGGTCAAAGCCCACGGTTCTTCACCACCTCAATCTTTTGGAATTTGTAGGTGGATTAACCACCTTTCAAAACAAGAACTCTGCCAACTTTCAGGGATTCTGCACCAGCTTCTGTCAACCACTTCCTCCCTTGGCTTCGTTTGCGAGGCCAGATGGGATGGGGGTGCCTTCCACCCAGGAGGCGCCATTCGGTTCAGTGCCTCTAACCGGTCCAAGCGCACGCGGTTCGGACCGAGAGCGCCAAAAAAGCTTTTGCAGAAGTGGAAGGTCCAAAGAGAGGGACCTTTGAGAGGGACCTAAGTTAGATTCAAGAGTGATTTACGTGAGGAGACTTGACCGGATGCACGAGGTTTGGTGGAGTTGTCTTGAGGTTTGGTGGAGTTGACCAACATGACAGATTGAGTTGACTGGAGCGATCGTAGGTCGCTTCGAGGTCCACCGACTCCCGGTGCCTAGATCTCACGCCCATCCTCGTTGTGCCTCTGCCATCGACATGGTTTTGATCTCTTCGTGTAACCCTAATAGTAACAAGAAGCTACTAGTAACAAGTGCATCGCTTCTAGTAACAAGTGCCACGCTAGTAGTAACAAGTGCCTTACTAGTAGTAACAAGATGCGGTCTGGGTGGTCCATGACGCCTCGGTCCGGAACCGACGGCGGAAACGAGACGAGACGAACGCTGGAAAGCGGCACCTGTGGTTCGCACAGTGATGGAACCAAGGACATTGAAGCCCACTACGTAGCGCTTAACGGCAACGGCATCGGCAACTTCCCTAACTGAAGCTGTACAATGTTGACCGGAAGAGCATCCTTTACTCGCCCTCCCAAAACACACACGGTTCACCAACACATTGGAGGATTCAACTTTTTCCTTTTGGAATCCTTTCTCCAATCCTTCTGTGCTCAACCTGCGTCAACCTGCCCCATGAGTCAAAACTGCACGTGTCGGCTGACCGATCCGCTGAGAGAGAGCCCATCCGCACTCCGCTCCGCGTTGTCGCCACGGGACCTCGGAGGTGAGCTTTCAGGGTGGCCCCGTGCCGGTGAACGGACGCCAGCGCGTCTATCTAGAGCCCCGGCCGGTGAAGACGGATCGGATCCGGTTTCGGATTCGGACAGACCTCTGGTTTTGGTTCCGTCCGTGGCTTTCGGTGCTTTTCGGCGAATGTCTGCGGAGGGTTGATGTCATGGGGGGAATCAGAGGTGTTTCGTCCGAGGTGAAGTCCGGGACGTGGGTGTTTTCTTGGACTTTGGGAATGGCACCATCAGGGTTGCAGGAATGCATGTTGCATCCGGGATTTGTCCGCGGGCCGTTTCCTTGTATGTGGAATGGTGGTGATGAGGATACAGCCTGGGATCATGTCAAGACTTGGCAGCATTGAGATTCTGAACAAAGAGGTGACAAAAGACAGTAATTGTTCTGAACAGCTCGTTGATAGAGTCTCAAGACTTCTCTCCTTCTCTCTCAATCATCCAATTCCATGTATCATGTAAAGCTCCCAGTGTCACTGGGGGAGTTCATTGAGACTCATCGTGGAAATGACATCCACTGTGTCCAGTGTGAGATTTTTGACTCGTAGAACAGGAGAACTCTTGCCAAAGTACCCAACCTCACATTTCCACTTGCACTGTGTTTTTTCTCTTCTGTTTTCTTGCATGTGTGGTTTTTGGGATTTAGGGTGTCCACTTTTTTGGGAAGGCACATGGCCATTTTCCGGCCTCTTTTCCGGGAACGCTTCGCGGTCGAATCGGAGTTTAGAAGTTTAGACCAACCCACGAGGTCTCCACTCCACGTCTCCCAACCCAGGAGGAAGAGAAGTTGAATCCTCGCTTCCGGCGAGTAGAGCCCGAAGATGACGAGGACCGGTCAACGCTTTTGGTCGACCTAGGTGGGTCTACACAAGGGGGTCCAGACCCTCTGTTCATACCGGGGCCATACCCGGACCCTCCAATCCCGGCTTTTTGTTGGTGAATGGAGCGTCTGGGACCGTATCTTGCGTGTTCGGTTCTCGGCCTTCCTCGGCCTTCCGAGCGTCCGGTGAAGTGGAGCGTCTGGTGCCGCTCGTCGGATGGATGGATAGAGCTAAAATTCTTTTTTCCCGAGACGTTTCCAACACCCTGCAAAACACTGGGACCTTTCGGAAACCGTCGATCCCAGGCCAGGTCAGGTCGATCCCAGCCCAGGTCCGTGATACAACGGGATCCGGCGGTCAGGTCCGAGACAGCGGATGAACTTGTAGGGAGCTCGAGCCCCGTCCGGTTCGCGTCCGATCGCTCCGTTCGTAGCAATGCCAGGAGCCCCTACTCAGTAGCGAACCTTGTTCCTAGTAGTAAGGCCAGGAGCCCCGTTCGTAGCGTCCTTGCTCCTAGTAGCCCCAAATGTCTGAAACCTGCAAGCGATCCAGGATTGGAAGCAGCTCATAAGGCACGTGGATCCCCCCAAATCTTGGATTTCTTGGCAGGATGGCCAGGGCTAGTAGAGGCCAGGTTGCTTTTGCTTCGAGCCTTCAAATCCTGCGAAGAAATCGAAGAAAGCAGGTTTGCCTCGGACTCCATAAAGCGATGGTGTGGGGAGGTGCGCGTGCAGGGCTCCAGGTCACCTATCGTTGAGAGTGAGAAGAATGAGGCAGTGTTGGACGCTGCAGTGGTTGCACAAGTGGTTTAGAAGGACCCCGATAAACAGACATTCTTGGGTGCCAGTGCCATCTACTCTCAATGGACTTTTAATCTTTTCTTCATTGCATTTGAGGTCATCAACCAGATCGAGCTTTGAATTCTCTTGGAGTGGTCATGTCTTCGCTAATAAAAGGCAAAGCTCAAACTTAGCAACCTCGAGATCCCAAGAAACCGCCATACACGGCAGACTCAAAGACTGACTGAGTGATGCAATTCGTGGGAATGCCTTAGGATTTATTCCTTCGTTCCCTACAAGCCGCATTCTCCGAGTCTTAAGTCCCTCCTGCACAACATGGGCATCCAAACATTTTGAATGAACATCAACTGTAGCAGAGGTGGTGGAGGAAGCCGTGATGCTGAGATCATGTTGGGGCTGGGCTCAAGGTTGAAGCAGTGGCAGAAGTAGAACTCCGGTCTTTGCCGGCGCCAAAGGCGTCCTTCGAGGCATGGGAGCCAGACCCAGCCGCACCGCAGTTGTCGATAGCACCGAAGGTAATTCCTTGGTCGAGGAGCTGAATGTTGCTCCCAGCAATGTGGAGGCCGATGCTGTTGAGAAAGCCACTAAACAGGACATAAACAGCTATCCGCACAGCACCAAGGACATGCTGCACATCAAAGCTCGAGTGGCCAGGGCATTTGCTGAACTGGGGCCTGATAGGCTCAGCGATAAGGGTCTCAGTGATTGTTCCTCACATTCCAATGAGAAGAATCTGAAGAAGACCAAGCTGCAAATTCCCACATGTCCCAAGCTGCAACAGGCAGTCTTGCTTTGTTCTTCGATTTGCCACATTTGTCACTGGTTTGTGGCAGTGCTTGGTGGTGGATTGCTCTTCTTCTTCTACTTTGTTTTCAATTTTCATTGGCCTGTGGCGGCAGCAGCTGCCCGTGTGCATTTCAGGCTCGAAGGCTGCACCACAAACTTGACGAATGTGAATGTTTCGTGCCAATATAAGCTCAGCGTGGGCCTGTCTCGGATGGATCGATTCGCATCTGTGGCACCGGAGGATATTGTCGCGCTGCCACAGTATTGGCCCACGATTGAAGAGGAGGACACTTGGACGAAGCACTTGAAGTGCTGTTTGTCTAACTTTGAGTTTCGACTTTGGAGTAGGGCCTTTGGACGGGGACGGGGGACATGGGTCAAAACGAAGACGAAGGAAAGACAGTATAGAAAGGAAAGGAAAGGCAAGGGAAGGAAAGAGAAGGAAAGGAAAGGGAAGGACATGGAAGGAAAGGACAGGAATGGGAAGGGAAGGGAAAGGGAAGGAAAGGAAAAGGAAGGGAAGGAAAGGAAAGGAAAAGGAAGGACAGGAAGGAAAGGAGAAGGAAAGGAAAGGGAAAGGAAGGTCTTTTGGGGAAACGCAGAATGAATCAAAAGGAACAAGTACAGAACTTGTCCTAGTAGCGTCCTTGCTCCTAGTAGCGATGCCAGGAGCCCCTAGTAGCGATGCCAGGAGCCCCTAATAGCTTCTTGTTATACTAGTAGTAAGGCCAGGAGCCCAGCATGAAGAGCCAGACACGTCAGACACGTTGGACTCGCTGACGGCTTCGCCGTCCCATCCCGTCGGCCCTCCAGGGGTTCCCGCGCGAGTAGGGTTCGGTGTAGCGTTCGTAGCGATGCCAGGAGCGCCCCGCCCCGCTCGTAGCACGTCGCGCGGTGCGGCCGCAGTCCGATGTTCCACCTCCGAGTCCGCACGAGAGAGAAATGTCCGAACCAAATCATGAGCGCAAGCTCTCCTGCGTCCTGTCGGTAGTAGCTACTTGAACCCTTGATTAAGTAGGCGGCGCCTACTTACTTAAGGAGGGGGGCGGGAGCGGGCTAAAAAATAGAGACACCCGAGGTCCGCACCCATGTCTGCCGCCTTCGCACCCGAATTGGGGCGGCGAAACGTCTGAGGCGCGTGGCTGGAGCAGCGAGTGGCTCATTCTGATCCAGTGCCTAACAAAGAAAGAGGGGCTACGCTGCTGGGAAGCAATGAAGACCCTTTTTGGTGGACGGAGGTGCTTTTTCAGTATGGAGTCCAACCTTTTTGGTGGGGGAGAGATCTTTCGGCACTCGGGAGAGCCTCCTCCCTCAATTCATGTGCATTTCCTTTCAGGCGCATGTTTCGACTACAGGGACATCTTTGCAGAAAGCTCCAGTGGCCTTAGCCTTGATCTCCAAGGGAGCATGGAGAGACGCTTCGCAGAGAACTTCATAGGCCTGGATTACCAGTGCAGTGGTTTTGGGGAAACTTCTTCTTCTTCTTCTTCCTCTTCTTCTTGTTCTTCTTCTTCTTCTTCGTCGTCGTCTATTTTTGCAATTTTTGGTGCATTTGTTGGATTTGCTCCGTCTAAAGCTTTCCAGATACTTTACGGTGACAGCTTGTCCAACATCTGTTCCTTGTCTATTTGCACATCTTGCGTACGAGTAACGTGTGCTAAAGTGGATGTTCGATAACCGACTGAACGCGGTGCCATTTTGGATCAAGACCTGGACTCCCTTGTTCTTCTCCAATCCTCCTTACACCATGGACCGTGGCAGAAGGGCGCCCTCGAGACCTCCGAGCAAAGTCCGGAGAGTGGCTCTTCAAAGGACCAGCGGTATGATGGCAGCCGGTGCATGGGCGGCGAGGCTTGAGACTGCCAGTCTCCTTGAAGCAGGAGCAGATCCAAACGATGTGGTCGATGCGATACGGTCCTTCTAGGCGGACGAGGTGATGCTAAACGACCAGCCTCGCCAGAGCCAGCTACTTCGCCTTACGGCCCGCCAGTACGTCTTTTTGGAGAATCCGGTTCGGCATCAAAATTTTCAAAACCTGCCGCCCCACCACGAGATGGAGTCGAGACCGTAGTGGTCCGGGAAGGAGCGCAGATGAATTGATGAATCTGCAGGCATCACAAGGACAGCCAGGCGGGCAAAAAGCCGAAGAGAAAGTGACCTTCGGTAAGCCAGCTGCTCCAATTTGAGAGGAGTGGGATCGAAGAGGGAAGAAGTTTGATGTCCCCCTTGTGAGAGGAAGCGCCCGGAAGAGCAGGATCCTGAAGCGAGTGAGGTCTACCTCCCCTTTCGTCTCTACTATGGGCGTCAAATCCTTGGACCCCCAGCTTCTCGAAGAAGGTATAGATTTCGGACGTCTTGTTGAAGCATTTATCAAGATCGATCTCCTCCTGCTCTTCCAAGGCTTTTGCGTATCATGCAGTAGGAGGTCATTGGGGTCGCGCCAAGAGACTTTCAGATTACTTCGTGAAGTCCAGGGAGCTGTGCCCTGAGAGAGCCCCACGTTCGTCAAGCGTACCTTGGCAGCCCTGCAGAAGACTGTCCTCGATCCATACAAGCCGCTGCCCGAGAGGATTGCAGCCGGAAAACTGAGGCTCTGTGTTCAAGCTTTCATCAGGTATAGTGACCTGAAAGGGACGCCAATCGGATGCCTCGAATGGGTCAGGAGACCTGGCGAGGCAGAAGTTGTCGGTCTACGCGCAAGGACGTTGAAGGGCAAGAGCGGACCACGGTTGTGGGTCGCGTCCTTGAGGGGAGTTTCAGAGGCAGGCGATGGGTGGCTGAATAAGTTGACTCGCTTGTTGCTCGAAGCTCATGGCGATAGATGGGTGAGCGACGATCGCACGGGAAAGCTGGCCGACGTGCAGCTTGTCAAAAAGACCCTTGGAGAGTATAAACAAGAAGGCTTGGATGTTGGCCTTAGTGATTTGGGCCTAGGGGGTCTCAGGTGGCATGGAGCAAAGGCTTCACTGTCGTCCTTGATGCAGCGCCTGGAGTTGCCAGCCCGGGTGATTCGCTTCCAGAGAAAGCCAAAGCCATGGTCCTCCGAGCACAGGAACAGTGCTTGAGTTATCTCCGCGAGCTGAAGGCGATTTGAGTACGCTCCTTGGATCCCCTCTTAATGAGGGAGGGAACCCGCCTTCTGAGGCGGAGGACAAAGCCTTTGTCCGCAGAGCCATGGAGCAGCCGCCGAGGTTTCCTGCCAAAGTCTCCGGACTGGAGAAGAGCTTTCTGTCCGATGAAGGCGTCCTCAAGTCCGAAGCCAAGAAGCGCCAACATTAAAGACCTCGACAAGATGCTCCTCGAGACGGACGTGATTGCAAAGTCAGAGAGCACCGCCTCTTCGGAATCGGAGGGAGAGATCAACAGGGCACTGGAGAAGCGGGTTTCGGACAGGTAACTATCAAGAGGAGCTGGACCAACGAGACACGGAAGGTCCGCGTCCTGGTGCAGTCTAGCTCTGGGGCTTCATCTGCTGGCTCTCCCGCTTGGTTTCAAAGCAGACGATGATCTTCCATGTCAGGCCGCTCCAAAGTGTGGCATCCACGGCAAGTTCGAGTACCTCAAAGCAGACGATGCGATGGACGCAACAGTCGGCTTCTGCGTGAGGTTTTCGCCGACTACTGACGAGAGCTTTTGCAAATTCATTCGTAGTCATATGGCATTGGGCGAGAAGGGAGCTGTCCCCTTCAGGTGCGTCCAGAGGTGTGGAGGAGGCGGACCAGATCACACAGATCATTTCTGCCCTCTGCGTATGTAGGACGATGCACAAATTGACTGGACGGCGGTCGACCCGAGCAGATGGCAAAAAGTCAGAGCAGTCTTCCAAGTGCGCCTCCAGGTTCCTTTTGATCGGGTGAGTCAGAAGTCTGGAGGCCTCAGGAACTTGGCAGTTCGAGTTGAGGCCCGTCTGCTTTGTGGGGAGCACCGGGGGCATGGGACCCAATGGGGCCGCAACGCGTGACCGCAGCTGCCTGGTCTCCAAAACCCTGCGCCGGGATCGCTGCCCTTGGAATAGAAACCTCAGAAGCTTTTGCTCTGAGAACCCCATCCAAGGAGGACCTCGAAGGAGTTTCTGAAGTCTACCTTGTGCCCATCAGCCGCCTATATGAGGGCGAGGATGTGGGAGGATGACCTGAGAAGACGCCAGGTCATCCATTTCGTGGATAACGATTCAGCGGCAGCTAACCTTGTCCGTGGAAATTCCCCGAAACCGGATTCCTGCCAGCTTGTGGGCGAGAATTGGACCTTAGCCGCCCGTTCCGGCATCGATCTATACCTAGATCGTGTTGAGTCCAAGTCCAACCTGGCAGACGGCCCAAGTCGACTTGAGTTTGCCCTCATGCGCTACATGGGAGCTTCTCCATCAGTAGTGAAGACATCCGTACATACGGCTCGGTCTAATTTTTAACTTTTGTTTTTGATGGGGCCACACTGCGGCCGCTCCCGCAGTCTCGCTGGATAGTCCACAACCAGACTTCGGGATACCAAGGAAGGCCTGCCAGGAGAGCTATGGGAATCCCCTTCCTCGGTCTCCCTGCGGTTGAGTGTTTTCCGGAGAAAACGGACCAGCCACGTCGCTCACGGCTGAGATCCGTTTCCCGGTAGATGCTTGGTCGCATCGGAGAAAGAACAAGCGGCAGCTTGGTTCCCTTATGGAGCGTTCAAGGTAAGAATATCAATTTATTTGCAGTTGTTATTCTATCGGGAAGACTGTATTTGTGAACCCCGTGTGGGCCAATGTATACCTGCATGTTCCAACTATGCAAATCTTCTGCCAAACTTGGCTGGTTTTGGAGATAAAAGGGCAGACATTTGCACAGTTGGAAGATCTGCTCACTCGGCATGAACCTGGTGAGTTTGAAAAGCTGCCCTCCGGGGGATTCCGAGGAAGAGTCCAAGTGAACCGATTCCGCAGCCTGGTCTTCCTGAACAACCCTTGTTGTCTCTAAGGATTTTACATGACCAGCAAACGAACGCTCTTTTTTCCAGAAAAATGTGCAGGGTTTGGGACCAGGGGCGGGTCGAAACGAGCTTTCCAGAACCCCCCCCAAGTCCGATTCCGTCGGGTCCGATTCCGTCGGCCGGTCCTTCTCGAAAGGTTTCCGAGACTTTGCTCGGTTTCGGAGAGTTGGGGTCTATGCTGTGTTGCTCCTAATAGTAAGAATGCTCCGTTCGTAGCGATGCCAGGAGCCCCTAGTAGCGTCCTCTTGCTCCTAGGAGGCTCTTTCTTTGGAAAAAAGGGCGACCCTGACATTCTCAACTCTCCACAAGCAACAAGAGCACGGACACAGCGACCTGACGCATCATGCAAGAAAGCGTTTTGGGGTACACTCCCACTCACTCACATGGAAGTGGAGTTCACCCTCTGTTCGCAAAGGAAAGCAGTCTTCCGGACCATGCCATCCACATCCATAGAACGTGAGTCAGAGTGTGGCTGAGAGAAAGCCAAAGACCTTTTCTCCTCCCAAGATCCAATCGAATGGACGTCGATCGAATCCTCCTCGGTGCAGGCAATCCCTTGGAAGAGATCCATTTCCACAGCTCCTGTCTTTCACTCAACATGGAACCCTACTGGACTCTTGGAACTCTAAGCGAGAACTCTTTCTGGCCAATCTTTCAGTTGGGAATCTATCTATCACTTTTCCAAGAACTCTGCGGCGTGTTTTTTCTTTTTTTTTTATTCCCCAAACAGTGTGGGCACACTGAGGGGTTCTTACGGTAGGGGAAAGGCAGCTGATGCTTCAGATCGCTGAAGCGCGCGGGCGTGTGCGGCTGATTGGCTGCTATTTACAGTACATTCATGGTTCTCGACGTCGTCAATGTGCATTTCCGACTGCGCAGGCTCGCAGAATCTGGGTGTCCGCGGCGGGTGCTTTAGCGACTGCGCTCTCGTTGTGGCGCCGTGCGCATTTTGGTACAAGGTGGTCACTTTTCGTGGCAGGCGCAAGGGAAACCTCGTGTTTCCAAAGTCGAGTTTTCGTGACAGGCGCAA